CTATGTGTGATTTTATATAATGTCCCACACGGGCAGAAAGTCTCCTCCGGAAGAGCCCAATCGAGGAGCAAGATGGCGGCGCCCGTGCTCCGTCGCGCCCATCCCGTCCGCCTTCCGCCCTCCCTCGCCGCTTTCACCGCCGCCCGCTCTCCCGACGCCGCCCCTGACGCAAGCCTTCTCCCTTGCCGCTCCCACTCCGCCGCGAAGCCAGACTGACATGCCAACAAAGGCGCGTTTGCTCCGACTGCACACAATGGGCGCGGGTTCTGCGAAGCTCCGGCCAACAGACTGACTGATTGATATTTGTGTTTTGCCGTTCCTGCTTGGGCGTGCGTGATGATTTCCACTGCTGGTGTCACTGCGTCACTGTTCCACCAGCGCTGTGGCTTCACTGCCGTGCCTGGATAGCAATAGCTGTTCATCAATGTTATCGGTTCATTATTGTAATATCCGTAACCGTTAATTTGTTTCGCTAGTTCCCACGGCATTACTGTGCTGAAACAAAATAAGATTTGTTAATCTCTCTCTCTCTCTCTCTCTCTCTCTCTCTCTCTCTCTCTCTCTCTCTCTCTCTCTCTCTCTCTCTCTCTCTCTCTCTCTCTCTCCCTCTCTCCCTCTCTCTCTCTCTCTATCTCTCTCTCGGTCTCAGTCTCTCTCTGTCTGTCTGTCTGTCTGTCTCTCTCTCCTCCCTCTCCACATCTCGTCCTCTCTCTCGCAATCAAACTGGCCCCAACCTCACACCGTCACCATGTGCAGAAACCCTCCACTTTTGCAAAAGTATTATCGCCACTACTAAACCGCCCATGGAGACCACCACCGCATCTTTCAACGATCTTTTTTATCAATTCCTTTTCTTCTATTATTATCTCGTGCATCCAAGCTTTAAAAATACATATACAAGGCCTTACGTACAAATATTCACCCACCAGTGAAAAATCCTAAGGGTCATTAGTACTGTTAATCACAAACCACGTTTTTACTTTTCCCCGATTGCCGAAAGGTGCAACGCTGGAGCGCGGATTTGTCAAACCACACGGCAGAACTATTTTTACTTTCACCTTCTATACACTTACTACATTTATTGATGTCGTGTCCATCGCGGTGTCATACCGATGAAGCGATTGGCGTAGAGAGAGAATATCATCGAGATATGGAGAGGAGGGTACAGGAGAGAGTGAAAAAACACCTTTTTCTTCCTCTTCATCTTCTCTTTCAACATTCGCCAACTCTTATCAGTAAACATGCCAGGAATGATTATTTTTTTTATACTTACCATCATTATCATCATCATCATCATCGTCACCATCATCATCATCAATTGTCCAAATCCTTTTAACATATATAAAGAAAAATAATATATTGCTAAATTCATGCCGCCAATATGTCGAGATCAATTCTAACAGAAGTAAAGATAAAGTCACTTCTTCCAAACTCACACTGATGTCAATACGCTGCTGAAAAAAGATTTTTTCTAAAATATCTTCGGCATTGCCACGACCACCCGGGGTTCTGGGTTCGGAGGAAACCTGAGTAAACCCAGTCAGATTTACTTTAAGATATAACGTGAATGGCATGACTTCACGGTCGTAGAAACATAACTGCGAGTTTTATCTCCTTTCCTTCATTCTATAATCATATACAAGTAAACAGGTGTCTTATGGTAATGGGTTCTTTAATATTAGCAATAATGAATATAAGAAAATCACAGGAATATTCTTGTTTTACATTGATTAAATTCTAAACTAACTCTACACTCTCCCTTCTCCTACTAATTATCAGTTAATCATAATAATAATAAAAAGATCAAATTAAAACAGAATGGTGACAGGATCAAGACAGCCCTGCCCCCCAAAACCAACCATGGCTGGCAAGTAATAAGGAATAAGGTGTCGAAAAACATAAAATTATTTTATCTTCATTCTGTCAACACGCCAATCCTTGGACAAATCGGTAGTCCTTCCGTTCAAACTACATAGTTTTTCTTTACAATATTGTAATATGCTCAACATATTCCTCGGCGCAGTCGGAACTGTACCAGCGACCAATTCCGGTATCATATCCACGAACCAATAAATAAATATATGTATATATTTTTTTCTACAAACAATGGGCTGGTGCTAAATCATGAAGTGTTGGTGTTGCCACAATTTTGGTACCAGGCACCGAGACACGCTATCAAGGAGAGACAGTGATAACAAACCCCTATTACTCATGAGCCCCCCCCCCCCCCACCCCATTTAATTATAAGCAACTTAACTAGACATAGATATCTTGAATTATTGTCTTAATTGCTTTACTAGTTCTGTCACCAAATTTTGCTATATTAATATGAAAAGAAAAGAAAAATACATAAATAAACTTTTCGGTGGAATTGGCAATTCTGTCTCTGTCTCCGCGTGGTCAAAATACTTTTTCAATTATAAACATACATCTCCTAAATATCGAATCAGTAATTATTATTATTATTATTATTATTATTATTATTATTATTATTATTATTATTATCATTATTATTATAATTATCATTATTATTATAATTATCCTTATTATTATTATCATTATTAATACCATTTCTACTTCTACCATTATCATTATTATTATTAATGTTATCATAATTATCATTATCGTTTCTTTTATTATCATAATTATTACAATAATCGTTATTAGTAGTAGTAGTAGTAGTAGTAGTAATGTTATTATCATTATATTATTATCATTGTTATTATTATTGCTGTTATTATTAGCAGTAATACTATCAGTATCATTGTTATTATTATTATAATTGCTATTATTAATATTGTCATTTTTGTTACATTCATTATCTTATTATTACTATTATCATAATTATCATCATTATTATCATTGTCACAGTCATGATAATTGTTATTGTTATTATAATTATAATCATTATTAGTATTGTTGTTGTTGTTATTGCTATTACTATCAGTGTCATTATTATCATTGTTATAGTTATATCATTATTATTATTTTTATAATTTTATCA